TGTTACTTCTACCACCCAGCTTTGAGGGGGGGAAGTGTGAGAGCACGACCCCGTTACACCACTTGGCCTTTTCTTATTTCCTTCCCTTTTCATTTCTCGTTTTACCGCATCTAATTTGGTTTCCTATTCTTCCTTTTCCATTAACCTTTGGTTTATCCTGCTATTATCATTATATCACCGACCAGGCTTGGGATGTATTGGTGTGCTCTATCTAGCGTAATCCTGCCGTAATCCCTTAAAGCCAATAGCCTCGCGTGGCTATACGCAGGGTGATTCTATCTTCTAGAAGGGTCTATTCCCTTAGGATAGGATAAACATGGTTACCTGATGTACCCTGGAAGTATAAAAGCGCCTTGTACTGATCGATAGTGCAACCTTTCCTCGACACATTCGATCCTGTGACAGTCGTGGCCCCAAGGGAGGGCGTAGTGGTGGTGCTGGTGGTGGTAGTGGTGGTGGCGGGGACAGTGGTTCTGACGAGGGGGTTGGGGCTGGTGTCCAGGAGCAGCAGCAGCCGCAGCCGACGAAGCAGCAGCAGCAGCAGCAACCGTGGGCCCGCCTCCCGCGGGGGTGGCCAAGAGCCTCTGGAGGTGGTGGCCACGGTGGTTGTCCTCGCAGCTCGGCGTCTACCGGCAGCTTCGGTGCTGTGAGCTGCCAGTACCAGCTCCATACCGGCCCCCTCTGCGGCATTGTGTACCGCCGCCCGCACCGGACTGCTTGCTGCTTCCGCCGCCTCGACGACCTCTTTTGTCGCCACTTCGGCACGGGCCCGGACCTCCCTGACTGGCCTGGTCTGCTGCGCCACGGTGTGCCTGTCTTTGAGTTAGACATGGATCAGATTAGTTCTGCCATGCGTTCTCTGTATGCTGATGCTTCTAGCGTGTCCGGATCTTATTGCCCAGTGTCCTCTAGTTTAGGCGTAGTACCTGCGTGTAGTACAGACTCTCCTGCTGCGTCTGGCGTAGGACCGTTTGCCTTGTCTAGCCTAGGCTCCACACTCGCTCCTCCTTCGGGTATCGCTTCTGCTTTGCTGTCCTTCACACATGACTCCGGTGTGTCTGCCTGCTTCTTCCGCGACCACACCACACTCACACCGCTTGCCGCGCCTGCCGCCGTCGCATTTGCTGGCCCCTCCTCTGGTCTTGTCGTTGCTCATAGCTACACTACCCTTCACTGTCCAGCGGTTCCCTTGGGTTCACTTACAGGCCTGCACATCTCTTTGTTCTCCAGGAACTTAGTTGGTGTCGGCTGTCTTTAGGACCTCGGCGTCACCATTGCGTTCCCTAGTCACGAGCGGTAAGTTGTCTGTACCGAGGCCGCCTTAGGTGCCCCCTTTGCGACGTTCCCCCTGGACCCGGTGTCTGGCCTAATTACGCTGAACACTGCTTCCCCTCTGGTTGGCGCGTCCCCCCTGGGTCCTGCGTCTACCCAGGTCGCTGGGGCTTGCTTGTGTCGGTCGCTCGCTCCCCCTCCCCTGTTTCTAGTTCCCCCTCACCTGGTAGCCCCTGCTCACTCCCCTCCCGTCGGTTGTCCCGATTGAGGAGTCAGTTGACTCTGGTGGCCCCGCGGCGCAGTTCTTGCCGCCTGCCTCCTGCCTCTCTCCCGGTGTCTCCTCCTCCTCCGTCACAACAGCCGCCGCAGTCGCCGCCGCAGCCGTCGTCGTAGCCGTTCGTGGACGCTTGGGATGCTAGCGTTGAGGAGGGTGCTAGTCCTGGAGTTCCTGTCTTGGCTTGTCTCGGGGGGCCTGGGGGTGGCACCGATGCTGGAGAGGGTTCTCGTTCTAGGGGTGCTATAGTGGAGTTTTCCGGAGGTAGCCGTAGTGCAGCTGGCGGTCCAGGTGTCGGCGTCGAGCAGCAGCAGCAGCAGTCGCCGTCGGTGTCTGCCCTTCGCCTGCTCGGCTTTCCCTCCCCTGACCGCTCGCCTGCCCCTCCCCCAGCCCCTCCTCCGCTTCTTGTCTACGGCCCTCTCGTGCTCGTCATGTCTCTCCTGTTCAGCGTTCTCACCCTATGTTGCTTCGTTTCCACGCGTCTCGTCCTCCCCTCCTGCCTTCACCTCCTCCGTCGTCGCTCGTTGTCGCGCCTCCCCCTCTATCTGACTACCTTCGTGCTGCTTGTCCTCTTGTTCCTCAGGTCCTTGCCTCCCTCATCACTGACCAGTTTGTCCCTGTCTCCAGTCTTGATGCTCTCGTCACTGCTGTCGCTGACTTCGGCTCTACTCGCCGCCTTGACTACGCCACCACTCTGGTCTCTGACCCTTTACGTCCTCCGTCCGTCGGGGGTGCTCCTGCCCTAGGCAATGACGTCCTAGAGGACAGGCAGTACGAGCTTGCTTTCCTGTCTGAGGCTGCTCCCCATCTCTGTTCCATGCTGCTAGTCCCTAAGGGTGACCCAGACGCCTTTGACATCCCTGACCCCTCACACTTACGCTGAGGCGACCTCTTAGTGGATAGCTGCCATGGAGCAAGAGATGGCATCTTGGAGATCCACCGGCACCTACATCGACGCAGTTCCCCCGCCTTGGGTGAACGTAGTCTATGGCCGGTTGCTCTTCAAGTTGAAGCGCCCCGTTGGAGAGCCGCCTGTGTTCAAGGCGCACTACGTGGCTAGAGGCTTCAATCAGCGCGAGGGTGTGGACTTCTTTCAGACCTTCGCCCCGACCCCGAAGATGATTACTCTTCGGGCGCTGCTGCACGTAGCAGCACGGCGTGACTACGAGCAACAAACCCTCGACTTCTGTACTGCTTATCTTCAGGGCTGCCTATACGAGCAGGTCTACCTGCGCCGTCCACAGGGGTTCACCGGTACCTTCCCTCCTGGGACCGAATGGATCCTCCGGCGCCCGGTCTACGGCGTGCGACAGGCGCCCCGTGAGTTGCACGACACTCTGCGTGCTACGCTGGCTGACTTGCAGTTCTTTCCGTCATCTGCAGACCCCTTGCTCTTCGTTCGTGCTGGTCAGACTCCGTTCTACATCCTTGTCTACGTAGACGACATGGTCTTCGCTACTATAGACATAGACGCACTGGCCTTCGTGAAGTCCGGGCTGCTGAGGAGACACACCTGCATTGACCTAGGAGATTTGCGCCGCTACCTTGGCCTGCAGATCTCCAGGGACAGAGCAGCACGCACCATCACTCTTACACAGTCACACTTGGTGCGCCAGGTCCTTCAGAGGTTCGGTCTTCAGTTCTCCTCTGCACAGCCCACACCTTTGTCAGTAGACCACAGGCTCTCTGCTCCAGTTCTTGAGGAGTCGGTAGAGCCCAGTGGTCCTTACGCAGAGCTGGTGGGTTGCCTCATGTACCTGATAACTTGCACTCCTCCATATCTCGCATACCCTCTCAGCATCCTGACTCGCTTCGTGGCCACAGGCAGACACCGACCACAGCACTGGTCGGCCGCTATGAGGGTTTTACGTTATCTAGCAAGTACATCGGGCATGGGGCTAGTGTTGGGAGGACGCAGGCCATAAGTCCTTACTGAGCACATAGACGCTTCTAACGCACCGACGCTAAGATACTTAGGTCCTCCCATGGCTTTCGCTTTAGCCTTGGTTCAAGTGCCATCTCGTGGAGGTCCACTCGCTCCTCGTCTGTTGCCCAGTCTAGCTGTGAGGCTGAGATCTACGCCGGTGCCATGGCGGCACAGGAGCTCCGCTGGCTGACCTTCTTGCTCACTGACTTAGGTGAGCGGCCTAGCTTTGCCACGGTTCTGTCCGCTGACAACAGGGCCATGATCCTCCTGTATCAGGAGCCTCGACTTGAGGGCAGAGCGAAGCACATCCAGCTGCGGTACTTCTTCCTGCGCGAGCTGTAGCAGTGTCGCCAGGCCCGCTTAGTACACTTAGGCCTCCGGTGCCAACACAGCTAATATTTTTACTAAGGCGCTTTCGCCTAAAGATCATCAGCTGCACTGTTTGCAGCTTGGTCTAGTTCCTGTAGCTACTCACTTGCTAGGACCTTGATTGTGTACTCCTCTTTATTTATACCTTCCATACTGGCCTTGTGGCTTCTCTTCCAGTGGCTGGACTAGTAGTGTCCAGGCCTCTGGATAGGATTAGAAGTACTCTTTCTTGTAAGGGTACTCGCTTGCTGCCACTTTTTCTGTAAGGGTATATTTAAAAGCTACTTTGTAATATAAGGGTCCTAAATATTTGTACTTTTTCACATAAGGGTATAACTCCAGCGCAGCCTTACACTTTACTGTAGGTACAGGATCTCGCGTGATCAGACGACTGACGTGTTGCAGATTTGTGACGACGTGCCTTGGGTGGCACTCGACAGGGTGCACCAAGAATTTTGTTTTTGTTTGTTAGCGCTGAAGTGGGGGGAATGTCGCACCTCGGTAATTTTGCTGTTAGTGCGTATTTCTACATTAGTGCTTTCAGTACCAGAGAACCAAACTTCGCGAAGTACCAAATCGAACCGAACAGGAATTCGCGTTTTGACCCTCGCACCTCACCGTTTCGCGTTTCAGAGTCCATTCCGGGTTTGCTGGTAGTGATTACTGTCTTGTAGAAATACGACCTCATTCCCTAGACCCTTCCTGGTCGCGACCTCATTTCCCGTTGGTGCCGCACTCGTTTTTTTTTTTTGTTTTTTGTTTTTTTTTGTTCTTTCATTTCTTTAGCTAATGTAGTGGCCGATACGACTCTACCAACACGAATTATACATTCAAGTCGGCAAGTTTTGTAACCGTGCGCATGAATTCTTGGGTGAGTGGCAGCAAAAAAAACGTAAACCATTAGCAGAAGAAATTGACGACTTGAATCCCCGTCGTGCGCGGGCAGGGGCCAGGTAAAAACCCGTGGAAACTTCAATTCAAGTCGCCGAGATTCCCTCGCCGAAGTGGGTAGGGGGGAAGAGAAAATTTGACATATCACGTCCAGGGCTTTGTTTTCGTTTCAGGCTACCCTGTAATTTCAAAGTAGTTATTCCCCCGAGTCTGACTGGAACACACTTGGAACTGGGGGACTTAGCCGAATCCTCCGGGTTGCGAAGGTACTACAGCGGCTTTGTCTCTGCGAGTGGGGGACTTCACCAATTTTTCGGGGTCGTTCGAGGGCTGTGGGAGGAATGCCTTAGGCAGTGGGGGACTTAGCCGAAATCTTGGGTTGCGGGGGGTATAGGAGGAATGACTCTCGGATTGGGGGGACTTAGCCGAAATCTACAGGTTGCCAAGGGGATAAAATATTTCAGGGGGGATCGCATGTGTGATTGTGTAAGGGTGATTTTACACAACACTTTTCCGCATCAGGGTCCCTACACTCGACCACTTTGAAAAAACAGGGTCCCGTATAGATCTAGTTTTTTTCATAAGGGTCAAAAACTAAACCACTTTTAAAAATAAGGGTCCAACAGCTACCCCACCCTTATTATAAGGGCCGTAAGGGTATTTTACCCTGATATCCTGAGGCCTGGTAGTGTCGCCCTGGTTTGCTCTTGTCTTGTTTGTACTCGTGCTGACTGGTCTTTGGACCCCTAGTAGTGCCACCCTGAGCTGTGTGTTCCTTGCTCAGCACTGCCCCGTATCTAGCCTATGGGGTGTATCAACTTTTTCATATGTTTATATGTAGAAGTTATAGGCTAGATAGGTTTGTGTTCTTTGAGGGTACATTTCCAACCCTACTTCTCCCCTGTTCTCACTTGTTCTAGTTCATTTATGCTAATCTAACAATACCCCCTTCCTTGTACCACTGGGCCACAACCACAAGTATTTTGGAAGCACAAGCAGAATTTTAATCTCATCATATTTACATGTAGTTCTCATATTGTGCTGTATCGTCGGATGCGCTCTATATGCCTGGTGGCATCAGCCAGCAGGAGCTTGTCCTTTCCCAGGCTGTGGCACGGCGGCACGTCTGAGGGGTGCAGGCGGCGCAGCAACGCCACAAACTCACCATAGTCTATGCTGCAGTCCTGGTGTGCACACACACGGGACACACAGGGGGGCAAGTGGGTGAGGGACGAGATGAGGGGGGAGGGGGGGTATAGGAAAGCTGCAAGAAAAGAGGAGGCAGATGCCGATGAGAGAAAGAGGCCCAAGTACCCGTCCTTTCTCCCCCCCACACCTCGCCTTCACCCTACCCACGGCACCCCTCCCTATCCCTCTCCCTCTCCTTCACTTTCCTTCGTCTTGCTACCTCTCGCCCAACCCTTCTCTCCCCCCCCTTCCATCCCCTCGCCCTCTCCCCACGCGCACCTGGTTCGAGTCACCCTCAGCCATCATTTGCTCCAGCTCGTGCCGCCCGATGTCGATGTGGAACTCGCAGCACACGGCGTGCAGCTCGTCCAGGGTGACAGAGCCGCTGCCGTCGCGGTCCAGGTGCGCAAAGGCGCGCTGCAGCGCCGCCTCGTCGTCCAGCAAGCAGCTGCAGCTCACAGTGGCAGCCAGGAACTCACTTGGCTCAATGGCGTCGCTTGCGTCCACGTCCACCTGGTGGGGGGGGGAGGAACAGGTGACAAAAAGAGGGTTGGAGGAGTGACGTGGAGGAGTGGGGGGTGACGAGTGGGATGGGAAAGGTGCCTTGTTAAATGCTGCAACGACAGGGGGAGTAAGGGTGAGGGCAGCAGCGACTGACGGCGTGGTAGATGTGCCGGAGCTCGGCGTCAGCGATGTATGCCCCCATGCGGCGGAAGCCGTCCCTGAGCTCGTCAAAGGAGATGGCGCCGTTGCGGTCCGTGTCCATGGCGTGGAACACCGTGCGCATGCCCTGCACCTGCTGCTCCGGCAGATGCTCCGACACCAACTGCCGCCACCACCGCACAGGGGAAAAGGGGGTATGGGAAACATGGGAGGAGGAGGAGGTGGGTGGGATGAATGCTCATGAATGTTCCATCCAGATTTGTGACAGATTGGGAAGGCGTGGCAGGTGGGAGTAAGAGGTTCAGTGCACGTAGAGAGAGAGAGGAGAGAGAGAGGGTGGAAATCCAGGACCCGCAACTCTCAAACCACCTGTTCCGCTGTGGGACGGGGCACGGGCGCACCGACACGCACAATGCACTGGAGGAGTGCATCCGCATGGCACGCGATGCACAAATCATCGTCAAGAAAGAAAAAGCCATGTACACCCCCGTTGATGACCAAACCGCCGACTTGGCAATCCGAGACCAAGACTCGGGTGCTGTATGGATCTGTGACGTCACCGTCACCGACCCAGTCAGCAGCCGCGACCCCCTGGCACGGGAAGGGCGGGGGTACATGGCGCAGGAGCAAGCGGACAAAAAGATTCACCACTACCGCAACCGCGCGCCCTATGTCGGCCTCTTCCCCCTAGCAGTTGAGACCTATGGGTGGCCTTGGCCCCCTTTCCTGCAGCTCTTGGCCAACACTGGCGCCCGCCGCCTCTTCAATGCGGACCCGAGCTCGTACCAGGCCGCCAAACTGCTCAATCAGTTTTGGCAGCGGTGGTTGGTCACCCTCCATTGCGGCCAGGCCCTCACGTACCTCGGCAAGGTGAACGAGGCCTCCCCACTCGAAGGGCCCGCTCTTGGGGCACCTGACGAAGGCATGTCCCTCGGGGGCTGCTTCATCATCCTCGAGCCCACGGGGGAGCTAGCGTAGGCTAGCAGGGGGGGGGGGGGATTATGATGCATGCTTACACCTGGCCCACATGCCTAGCTCTGTACCCAGGCTTCCAATGAATATAAAGGACCGCTTGAGGAGAGAGAGGATAATGAAGGGCGGTGCAGCAAATAATTGAGGGGAGGGAACAGCAGAGGGGACGGACGGACGGACCCGGATGGCAAGCTTCCTGAGGTGCGACATGCGAGCGAAGTGGCGCAGGCGGCGCAGCACCAGGGGGTCAAGGGGCGTGTCCGGTGGCACTGCTGTGTTGGCCAACCAGGGGTGCGCTGCCATGGGACACGGGCCGGCGCAGGGGAGAGGGAGATGGGGCGAGAGGTGGGGAAAGTTGACATGGAAATGATGACAGAACGGCGAGAGAGCAAAGGGGCACGTATACAAATAACAGCAAGGGGGCAGTGAGGAGTAACAGCGCGTGGGGTGGGAGTTAAGCCAGGATATGGCAGGGAGGGGGACAGGCAGCACACACAAACACACACCGAGCACTTGCTGTGCTGTGAGTCGCAAGGCGGGGTCGCGGCAGAGCATGCCTTGGAGGAGGTCCTTGGCGTCAGAGGACACGAGGGGCCAGGGGTGCGAGGTGCAGTCGATGGGCGTGCACAATATGGCGCGAAACATGTCATCGATGCTCGACAGGTCTGCCCGGGAGGAGGGGCGAGAGCGGGAAGGAGGAAGGGAGAGAGGAACCGAGTGGAGAGAGTCAGGAGAGGGTCAGAGGGTGAAGAAGCAGGGAGAGGCGGGACGGGATAGAGGAAAAGGCACAGATGGTGGTGGAGGTGGTTGCATGTGTGTGCGCGTCTTCACGTGTGTGTGCATTGTCGTGTATTCGCACGCCCATGTGTGTGTTTTTCTGCACATGCATGCAGTGACACATAACCCCATGACCCCATGACCCCATGACAGTAGCAGCAGGTGCAGCGCACCAGTGGGGAAGGGGCAGTAGCCTGAGAGCAGCATGTACATGACGACGCCCGCGCTCCAGATGTCCACCTGGGGCCCGTAGCAAGTGCCGTTGGACGCCACCATCTCAGGCGCGATGTACAGCGGACTGCCTGCTAGACCCGCGCGTATGGGTTGCCCTGCGAAGTTGGCCGACACGGGTGGCCAGGGAAGGTTGTGGAGACGATGAGAATTCGAGCAACCCGACGGCGCATGCACATTTGAAATGGAGACCTTGAGCGAGGGGGAGAGGGAAGGCAGGGAAGGCTGGCGGGAAGAGAGAACTTGTTTAAAGCGGGAGGGAGTTGGCGAAGGTTAAAGCTATGGGAGGCAAGGTAGGGAGGGATAAGAATGGCAACTCGCAAGAGCAGACCTGGGGTGAAGAAGACGGAGAGGCCGAAATCGATGGCCTTAAGGGGCGCGTTAGCTTGCGGGGACGCAAAGAGGAAGTTCTCGGGCTTGAGGTCGCGGTGCACGATGCCCCTCTCGTGGCAGTACCCCACCACGCCCACAATCGTCCGAATCAGGCTCGCCGCCTCCCTCTCACTGTAATGCCCCTGGTCCAGGATCCGGTCGTACAGCTCGCCGCCCGAGCACAGCTCCATGACAATCGCAATGCTGCGGTCGTCCTCGTACGCGCCGTGTGCCACCACGATGTTGGGATGGCCGGCCAGGCGAAAGAGGATGGCGATCTCGCGCTTCACCTCGCCCACGTGGGTCCCCAGCTGCCGCAGCCGTGCCTTGGAGATGAGCTTCATGGCATACAGCGCGCCTGTGGCCCGTTCCGTGACCTGGTATGTGGACCCGAACTGCCCCTCGCCTAGCTTGCGCCCCACGTGGTAGTCGTCCAGGATGCTGCCTGGGATGAACTGCACGTGCACCGCCGCCGCCGCCTCCTCCGCTGCTGCTGCTGTCGCTGCTGCCACGGGTGTGTCTGTATACGTACGTGTGTGTGTTGCCGTGGCTGCATGGGGTGACAGAGCTCCGTGTCCCGCTTCTGACAGACGAATATCGCCCAGAGAGGTACGACCTACGAATGCACCACCAGAAGCACCAGGCGATGCAGCAGGCCCGACCACACGTGAAGAACCATGGCAGGCCATGCTGTCGCCAACACCAACACCAACACCAACACCAACACCAACACCAACACCAACACCATCCATATTCCCATCCGGACGACACCCTTGCGCTTCACCACCGCCACTGTCTCTCGTTCTGACAGCAGCGCAACCATGATCATCCCCATCGCACCCACGGCCATCCCCAATGGAGCCCCAGCCATCCGCATCCCCAAGCTCCAGCGTGCCGTCGCGCCAGAGGAGCTGCTCCCGACCATCCATCCACACAACACTGCTGCTGCCACTGTCACTCAGCCCGCCCCTCCCACTGCTGCTCGCCATGCTCTCTGCCGGAGTGTACATGGGCGTGCTGCCGCTGGCCTCGCATGCATCCCCTCCTCCATCCCCGAGCCCGTCCGCATTCTCATCACTCCATTTCACTCCCCCTGCTCGTTCCACTCCCTGCCAGACACAGTTCTCCCCTCCCACCCCTCTGCTCTCATCACACTTTGACTCCGCTCCACTCCCACCACCCCCACTTCTCCCTTGATCCCCTTCCCTCTCTCCATCCTCACTCGCTGTCAAGTACCCCCCAGGCTGTCTCCTCTCCCCATCTCCGCCATATCTCCCTCTTCCTACACGGGCTCCTCCTTCCGCCAATCCGCCCTCCGCAACCAGGCGCGTTTCCCCCTCCCCCGTTCCAGCTCCCCCTTCACCCGCCGCTGCTGCTTCCCCTTCTGGCACCGCCATGTGCCGCGAGCCCTCCGGCTCCCATCTCCGGGCCACGGGTGAAGGCGGAAACGGGGAGACCGCTAGAGCGGGGGAAGGGTGCGGGGAGAAAGCAAGAGCGCTTGAAGAACCGTGCGCCCGGGCTGACTCTGCTACTGTCAACGCCAGAGCTCAGATTTGAAAAGCCGCGAGATGTCCGCAACAAGCGCCGCTGACGGGCTTTGAGCTCCCCACTGTGGCTTGCTCGTACTATGTCTCCGCAGCACGCAGGGTGAGCGTGCGATAGAGCACCTCCCTGTTGCTGCCTCACGCAGCACTGTTTGCGATGGCTTGAAGGAGCGGGTTGTGGTGCTGTTCTGGTGGCGGTCTGAGTGCTCTTACGGCTAAGGGCATATTTCAGCCTGAAAGGATGCTCTTTTTTTTAGCCAGTTCTTTTTTGTGTGATTTGAAAACGGCGGTGATGAGGGGAGAACCTGAAAGGGCCTGGCAGACAGTGACGACCGCAGAAGATGGGGTCAGGGCATGTCATAAAAGTGCGCCCGATTGCGGTTAGCTAACATATTTTACGTTCTATAACGGTTGAGTATGGTATTTTGCCAAAACGACACGTCCTCAGGAACGTAACGGCGACCAGGTGGTGCTGCGAAAGAGATGGTGACTACGAACAAACCCATCTGGTGGGGTGGAGGTGTCCTGCGGGTGCGTTTCTCGTTCAATACCCTACCCAACCAAGAACAAGTGTCAGCAGAATTCCATCTTCCCAAAAATCACTCGTATGCCCCAAGACAAAAAAAATAGGATTTGATCCCGGGGGATTTTTGCTCCTGGACCAAAAACTTAGGTTTCGGTTTGGGGCTTTAACTGTATAACAATTTGGTATCTCGTGCTTTAACTGTATAACAATTTAGTATCGAAATATATTCATAGCAAATAACAAAAAATGTCAACTAGCAGCGTATCAGAAAGAATAATTGAACTAGAATGTGTGAGTACAAGGATATATAGACAAGGGTGTTGTACCCTCTAACTCACAATCCAGTATAGTCTACAGTAATGACATAAGTTACATTTGACACACCCCCCAGACTATATAGGGGCAATGCCTAACAAGGGAAGAAACAGCTCAGGGTGGCACTACTAGTCCAGCCTCTGAGACAAGGGTCTAAAGACCAGTCAAAAGGAGTACAGAAAGGGCAAGAGCAAGACCAGGGCGGCACTACTAGTCCAGCCACTGGGAGAGGCCACAAGGCCAGTCAGGGAAAAAAATATATATAAAGGACAGTACAAAGTCAAGGCCCTAACAAGCGAGGGGCTACGGGAACGAGACCCAGCTGTACACAGTGCCGCTGATGATCTTTAGGCGCAAGCGCCTTCGTAAAGATATCTGCTGTGTTGGCACCGGAGGCCAAGTGTACTACACGAGCCTGGCGATGCTACTGCAGCTCACGCAGGAGGAAGTACCGCAGCTGAATGTGCTTCGCTCTGCCCTCGAGTCGAGGCTCCTGACACAGGAGGATCATGGGCCTGTTGTCAGCGTACAGGACCGGGGCAGAGCTAGGCTGCTCACCTAAGTCAGTGAGCAAGAAGGTCAGCCAGCGGAGCTCCTGTGCCGCCATGGCACCGGCGTAGATCTCGGCCTTACAGCTGGACTGGGCAACAGACGAGGAGCGGGTAGCTCTCCACGAGACGGCACCTGAGCCAAGGCCGAAGCAGTAGCCCTGCGAGGACCTGAGGGTCTCGGCGTCGTCTGCCCAAGAAGCGTCTGTGTGTTCAGTAAGGACCATTGGCCTACGTCCTCCTAGCACTAACCCCATGCCCGATGTACTGCAGGTCAGCAAGCGTAGCACGAAGCGTGTCGTGCCACTCACGGGGAGCCCGCCGCACGCCGTAGACGGGGCGCCGCAGGAGCCACTGGGTCCCAGGAGGGAAGGTACCAGTAAAGCCCTGAGGGCGGCGCAGGTAGACCTGCTCGTGTAGGCTGCCCTGAAGAAACGCAGTGCAGAAGTCGAGGGAGTGAAGCTCGTAGTCACGCTGAGCTGCTACATGTAGCAGCACCCGAGGAGCAGTCATCTTCGGGGTCGGAGCGAAGGTCTGGAAGAATTCCACTCCCTCGCGCTGACTGAAACCTCTAGCCACGTAGCGCGCCTTGAACACAGGCGGCTCTCCAGGAGGGCGCTTCACCTTGAAGAGCCAGTGGCCATCGACTACGTTCACCCCAGGTAGGGGAACTGCGTCGACGTAGGTGCCGGTGGATCTCCAACATGCCATCTCCTGCTCCATGGCAGCTATCCACTGAGAGGCCCAGGGTCCCGAGACCGCCTCAGCGTAAGTGCGAAGGGTCGGGATGTCGAAAGCGTCGGGGTCACCCTCAGGGACTAGAAGCATGGAACAGAGATGGGGAGCAGCCTCGGACAGGAAAGCAAGCTCATACTGGCGGTCCTCCAGGACGTCACTGCCAAGGGCAGGAGCACCCCCGACAGACGGAGAACAGGCAGGGTCAGAGACCAGAGCGGTGGCGTAGTCAAGGCGGCGGGTAGAGGCGAAGTCAGCGACCGCAGCGACAAGGGCGTCAAGGCTCGAAACCGGAATAGATGGGTCGGTAACGAGAGAGGCAAGGACCCGAGGAACAAGAGGACGAGCAGCTCGCAGGTAGTCAGACAGAGGGGGGGGGGAGCAACGACAAGGGAAGACGGAGGGGGCGACGAGAGAAGGGGAGGACGAGACGCGTGGGAACGAAGCAACATAGGGTGAGAGCGCAAGACAGGGGAGACAGGTCGAGCACGGGAGGGACGGCGAGACCAGACGTGAGACGGAGGAGTCGGGTCAGGAGACTGAGGAGGGGACACAGGAGGGGAACGAGGGGGGAAACCGGCCGGAGATGCGTCCGGAGGAGGTAACACAGGGCCGGAGACAGGAGGAGGAGGAGGCACGGGTACAGGGTCAGGGGACGGAAGGCCGAGCAGGCGAAGAGCGGACACCGGCGGGGACTGGTGCGGCGGCGGCGGGAGACGAGCACCGGGACCGCAAGCTGCCTGACGGCTACCTCCAGAACACTCCACGCCAGCACCCCCAGAAGGAACACCCCCAGAGCTCAGAACCCCTCGAGCACCGGTAGACCCCCAGGCCCACCGGGACAAGCCACAACAGCAGTCCCAGGACGAGTACCCACCCCAACTCCAGCACCCCCAGAGGCAACGAACTGCTGCAGCGACGGCTCCGGCGGCGGCAGCTGCAACGATGGCTGCGGCGGCGGCGGCGGCGGTGACGATGGCTGCGACAGCGGTGGCGACGGCGGCTGCGGAGTCGGCAGAGGAGGAGACACCTGAGAGGGGGCAGGTGGCGAGGACTGCGTTGTAGGACCACCAGAGTCAGCAGACTCCTCAACCGGGACAACCGACGTAAGGGGGGTGACTTGGGACACACCAGAGGGGGCAGGACGGGGAGGGGGAGGAGGAGGGGCGGCGACGACTGGGGGAGGGGTGACCAGGAACAGAGGGGGGGTAACCGGGGGACCTCGGCGGGGGAAGCGACGGAAGAAGGAGACAGACTCGTCAAAGGTGACGTCACGGGAGAGAAAGAACCGGTGAGACGGCGGGTGGTAGAAGTGCCAGTCAGACGCGTCAAGGTGGAAGCCGAGGAAGACACAGGGAAGGGTGCGGGCAGTGAGCTTGTCCATGTCGGAGGCACGAACGTGAGCAAGGCAGCCCCAGACGTGGAACACAGACGCATCACCAGGTGACCCACGGCGAATGGCCACAGAAAATGGGGTGCACCGGCATGGATCATGGAGGTGCGAGCCACCTCCATGACCAAACCGATGCGTCGCTCAGCGACCCCATTCTGCTGCGGGGAGTCCGGCAAGGTGAACGTCTAGGTGATGCCCTCGGCACGACAGAAACGACAAAGGACACCAGAGGCAAACTCGCCACCACGGTCGGAGTGGAGACGCAAGACAGGGAGACCGCGGTGGACACGTGCAGAGACAAGCCACGGGATAAGAACGTCAGGCACGTCGGCCTTCCGCTCCAGGGGGAACACCGTGGTGTAGCGCATGTAGTCGTCGACAAGCACTAGGAAGTAGCGCTCTCGGCGCGGCCCATGGACGGGGGCGGGGCCCCAGACGTCCATGTGCAGGGTCTGTAGCGGTGCTGCGGTAGGGGGAAACGAGGAGGAGTGAGGGGCACGGCGGAGCCGGCTCTCGACACAGGGCGTGCAAGGTGGGGCTGGGGAGGAGGGAAACTCGGGGAATGACCCGGGGAGGCCTAGGACGAGATCGTGGTGTGACATGTGACGCAGACGCCGGAGCGCAGGGTGACCGAGGCGGTGGTGCCAGAGAAGAGTCGGGTGGGTGAGAGACCGACAGGAGCAAGCAGCAGCAAACGGGGGAGACGCAGCCACCTGAGGGGGGGTCCCAGCCGGGGGGGTCACCGTGTCCAATGTGAAAAGACCGGACACCGGGTCCCATCGGAACGTGGACAGGGGGGCACCAGTGGCGGTCTCGGTACAGACAGCGTACCGGGCGTGTCCAGGGAACGTAGTGGTGACGCCAAGGTCCTGAAGGCAGCCGACACCAACTAGGTTCCTGGAGAACGAGGGGACGTGCAGTCGTGTGAGCGAGCCCGAAGGAACCGCCGGGCAGGGGAGCGTGGTGGAACTGCGGGCGACTACAGGGCCGGAGGTGGGGTCAGCAAGAGAGACTGCGGCAGGGACAGGAAGCAGTGTCAACGTGGTGGAGTTGCGGAAGAAGCACTGGGAAGCGCCAGAGTCGAGGGTGAAGGAGAGCGCGGTAGTGGCGGCTGGAGGCGAAGCAGCGACGGAAGCACCAAGGCTAAACAAATCAGGGGATCCTATGCCTGACGCAGCAGGGGATTCTAAGCAAGGCACACCTACACTAGGCAACAAGGGGTAATAAGACGGAAGCACACTAGAGTCATCAGCATACATCACATGCAGAGCAGTAACAATCTCATCCATATCCATATAAAAAATCGGAACCCTACGATGAAGCAGACTGTGCCAGTCGGGGAGGTCGGGCGACGGGCCGAAGCGCTGATGAAACAGGTCGTCCAGGCGACGGAAAAAGCGGACGGAGGTGTGACCCATCTTACCGCAAACGAAGCCACGGCGAGGACCGGTATGGAGCAGGTACTGCCAGGGGGCCGGTTAGGAGGGGCTCGACAGCCGGGGGGGGCGGCTAGAAGCGGGCGCGACGGGCAGGAGGCCAGCTAGGGGCAGGCGCGTACGGCCAGGGGGCTGGCTAGGGACGGGCGCGACGGCCAGGGGGCCGGCTAGGGACGGGCGCGACGGCCAGGGGGCCGGCTAGGAGGGGCTCGACGGCCAGGGGGGCCGGCTAGAAGCGGGCGCGACGGCCAGGGGGCCGGCTAGGAGGGGCGCGACAGCAGGGGGCCGGCGAGAAACGGGCGCGACGGCCAGGGGGGCCAGCTTGGGGTGTGCGCGTACGGCCAGGGGGCCGGCTAGGGACGGGCGCGACGGCCAGGGGGCCGGCTAGGGGCGGGCGCGAACGGCCTGGGAGCCGG